AAGCTGTCTCTTAAGGGTTTGTTGTGATTGTTGATGATCTTTTCCCCACATCATGACTGGGAAGGAGTGTGTAGGAAATATTCATGCCTGATATTCAGTCCTCCAGTGCATAGGTTCTCCATGCCTCTTTTAGTGGACCTGAGCTATTCCTCATGAAAATGGAGATCATGAGGCACATTTGGATGTATAGATGGCAACATTGGAGCACCTATAAAATATGAAGGAAAAATAATTCTTTCTTTCTGTAAAGTTAAAAGTAAGTTCCTGAGAGGCAAGGAGATAAGGATCAGGTAAAATTTGGTGCTTCCTAGATTAGCTGTGTCACACAGTTGTCATTGTTCAAGGTTACATTTTTCAAACATTCATTTCCAAGTATTATGTTTATTGTACTAGTATAAATAGAATTTACTGCCTACATTATTTTTGAATTGTTGATTGCTCACAGACGTGTTTCATTATTTGTTATACAAATATATCCTCTTACTTCATTGATCTCAATTATTGAGTGTTGTAGATCCTGAGATAGAAGGTACAAGTATGGTAAGGTATTCAGGGATAGATAATGGCTCTGACTTCCTCTGGAAGAAAAGGTGAATGAATGGAAAAAGTGTGAGCTAATGCATAACACTTGTAGAATTCCTTTGGCAGGAGATGTGGTGCACCCCACTTGGGTTCCACTATTCTTAGAGATTCCTTTGTTGGTAATGATCCACCACCATGGAGGGCCTGTGGATTTAACTTCTTGTCCACTGTTCTGGTGTTAGGAGCCTCCCAATATTCACCACAAGACTGGTCTCAGAGGAGTGACATGATCAGTGGTAACTTACTGGACCTCATGTTTGTCAGCCTGTGTGGACAAGCTCACCCTAACATTGTAGACTGGATGCTGCCTTGAGGCCTATTTGCATGAAAGCCTCTCTGGATTCCATACCTCTGCTTCAGAGACCTGTTCTGTTTCATGGGTTTTTTTTTAAATCACTTACAGTGCAAGCTTGTGTTATGTATCTGTACAGGCTGGTAGTTGATCTGCGTATTGTTTTCAAGGGTGGGGTGGTGTTTCATGCCTATTGCAGTCACGATTGTATTTTCACTAACCATATAAATCCTAAGATTACTATTCAATCACCTTAACTTATGTTGCCTGTTCAGTTGATAGAACCATGATGGTAGAATAAGTTTGGGTCTGTTTGCGATTGAGCTTTAGAGGGCTCTTAGCCATTGCTGGAGATTTTTGGGAATATTGGTTGCCAGCATTATTGCTACCCTAACTTTTCTTGCTAGTGCTACTTCTTCTGCTGTGAACCTTATCCAAACCATATATACAGCACAACATGTTAATACTTTCGCTTGATAAGTTTCTGGTGCCCTGGGATGCAGGTGGGAGTAGATAAAAAGATTGTTATATGTTTTATGGTTTGGAAACAGCAGTGATGTATTCTGATAATCAGGTAGACCTGCTAAAGACCCAGTTAAAAATGATGTCATGCTAATGGTGAGTACATCTGTGTTATCCTTCTTAAATATTATGGAAATATGGGGCTGGGAAGGGGGCTCAGTGGTAGAGCGCTTGCCTTGCATGCATGAGGCCCTGGGTTCATTTCCTCAGCACCACATAAGCAAAAAGGAAAAGGCCACAAGTGGTTCTATGGCTCAAGTGGTAGAGTGCTAGCCTTGAGCTGAAGAGTTGAGGGTCAGCGCCCAGGCCCAGAGTTCAGGCCCCAGACTGGACCCAAAAACACCAAACAAACAATATTATGGAAATATGACTTGGACCAATATCCAGTGACATATTTGAAGAATCTGTTCCTTTGATAATTTAAGCTTAGACATTATGCAGTGTCAGGGTCAGATATCTGATATTGGTCACTCCACCCTATAGGTAGCACACACCACAGAATTAGCTGCATCACTTCTCCATTACCTGCATAATAACACACCTTTTGCTATTTCTTAGGCATTTTGCTGTTTCTTCTTTTGGTATTCCTTTTTCTTCTATTCTTCCTGAGATATATGATCTGCTTTTTCCAGGTTCAGGCTGATAATCACTTGCTCAATTTACAAAATGAAAAAGGGGAGATGTTGGAGATCCAGAGGTGCCAGGAGCTGGCAAGGTGTGAGCAAAAGCCCCACAACCACTGCCCTATTCATAGGAGGGAGTTTTCCTATTACTTCTGGCCCTGAGTGCTTACCTGTAGAACTTTGGTGGACAAAGGTTGAACTAGAATGAGGAAGGATGCATATGATCTGCAGTTGTTGCCACATTGAGTCCTAGAACAATGTGATGCAAGAACTGGACAGATATAGAAAGTGTCTCTAGCTAAGGTCGTTGCTGGAATAAAGAGAAATTCATCATTGGCCTTCTCTCTGTTTGTTCCATTATCATCCCCTTGTTGTTCAGGAGCACTGCTGGTGTGGCTGGCCCACAGCAGTGGTAGAGTGTTTCCCTTTCCCTAGCATGCATGAAGCCCTGTGTTGAAGTCCTCAGTACCACATACACAAAAATGGAAAATGTGGAAATGTGGCTCAAGTAGTAGGGTGTTAGTCTTGAGCAAAAGAAGTTCAGTGACAGTGTCCAGGCACTGAGTTCAAGCCCCAGAGTTGGGACATAAAACACAAGAAATGCAAGCTGGGTGCTGGTGCCTCATGTCTGTAATCCTAGCTGTTCAATATGCCGAAAATGAGGATCCCAGTTCAAAGTCAGCCTGGGCATCAACATGTGTGAAACACTTATCTGCAGTGACCACCAGAAAACTGGAAGTGGTGCTGTGGCTCACATGGTAGAGCACTTGCCTTGAGCTGAAGAGCTCAGAGATGGTTCCCAGGATCAGAGTACAAGTGCCATTACCAACAACAAAAAAAAAAGATAAAAGAATAAATAAGTGTATCACAAATGTAGGCTTGAACAATGAAAACTATAGTTCACAGGTAGTCTTGGAAGCACTCCAGTTTTTCCTGATCCTTTTCTCCTTGCCTCTCAGGAATTTACATTTACAGAATGAAATCATTTTTTATTTATATTATTGGAGGTGCTTTTAAGTTGAAGTCTATACATCTAAATATGCCCTTTGGTTCCCATTTTCATGAGGACTAGTTTAGCTCCACAAAATGGACATGCAAAATCCATACACTGGAGAACTAAAATTAGATGGGAAAGTTTCAAATCCAATCCTTCCCAATTATGTTGTATATAAATGATCACCAAAGGGGTTGGGAAGGTGGCTCAGTGGTAGAGCCTGAGGCCCTGGGTTCGATTCCTCAGCAGCACATAAACAAAAAGAAAAAAGCCAGTAGTGGCGCTGTGGCTCATGTTGTAGAGCGCTAGCCTTGAGTTGAAGAGCTGAGGGACAGTGCCCAGGCCCAGAGTTGAGGCCCCATAACCAGACCAAAAAAATAAAAAATAAATAAGGGATCACCAAAAATCACAATAAACCCTTAAGAGACAAGTATAGGATCTCTGATTATGGGACAGTGAGACAGTTACATCCCTGGGGTACCTGCCAGGAGCAGGCAAAATGTGAGCAAAAGCTTAAGGGCCATTGACTCTCACCCTCAGGGCTGCAAGTCCTTGCCCTTTCTTGGTTTGAGGAAGTCTGTGTTCTAGCTTTTTGGCCTGGCGCTTTAAGTGAAGGGAGGTTTTAGTGGAAAAAATAGATTGAAATAGAATGAGGAAAGAAGTGTGTATTTGCACTTTTTGGCAGAGTGTGCCTAGACCAATATTACATAAGCATTTGAGAAAAATAGCAGGATTGTGCCATCAGCCTCTCTCTGTCTCCTTCATTATCATCCCCTTGGCCCTCAGAGTCTTGCTGGTGCTCTAATGGGACTGGGGCAAGGAGACAAAACATTTATTCCACAGCTGAATTGATAAGGTCTGAGAAGACAAGTCTGAGTTCCCCTAGATATGTAGCCTAAAGCTACTGAAAGGAAGTTTTAGGATCAGAGAAGAAGTAAGAATTCTAAAGAGATTTTCACATGCAAAATGAAAAGACAAAAGCAGACTGGTTTGCAAGTGATTAAGCTTCACATCAACATAGAGGTACCCTAAACTTCACTGTTCTACCCTAAACAACTCTCTTTGTAGGAAAATGGAGGTAATGTGCCAAATTCTTAAGAAGCTCAGTGAGGAAACTTTTCACTAGTTACCTCAAGAGATTATTAAAGGAAATGCAAGTAAAGCACTGCAAATGCTCACAGACAGTGCCCAAGCTCTGAGTTGAAGCCTTAGGACCAACAGCAAAAAAAAAAAAAAACATAAAACTCTTAAATGAAAAGCAAAATTTAGAAACAACCAAAAACTCCTTTTGATTTAATTGGGGACTTTCTGGAAAATTAATTGTTAGATTTTGGGAAATCCAAATCAACACAAGGATTATGCTGCATATCTACCTAACAATCTCACTATTTTATGCCAGTGTGTATATTACATCAATAGGAAATGACCCAGTATAAGTTTAGTGTCTGTGAGTACCTTTGCAAGATGAGAGGGGAGGTATTAAACAATTTAAGCAAAACAGAGATATAATTTCCATTCACCAGAACGCAGGCATTGAACAAAAAGAAAGGTATAAGCAACGCAGTCCTATAACCTCAATTTCATTATTAGAACTAAGAATCAAAAATCCAATGCATCCAATTCTCCCCATATATTTACATTTTGTGGCTGGACTTGCAATATTTCAGGAAGGAAACAATGGTTTTCAATAAGAAATTCACCTTAGCTCCCACAACAGGGAGAGAAAAGTCCCAATGCACCCAAGCACACTTGGGACCAGGGGTGTAGCAGGGTGCGGTAAGCACTGTAGGAATTGTATCCTCCATAGAGGACATTTCCTTTGAAAGTCTTGGGTTTTTTCTTTTTTTGGAGGGCGGAGATGGGGCAGAAGATCCTTTGTGCCTGCATCTCCCCGCCCTCCATGGGTGTTTGAAGTCTGCCTATTCCGGATTCTTTTCCTTTGCCTTGCTGCTGGAAGTGCTCTGAAGTACAGTTTGGCCTTCCATAGGTGTTAGCCACGAGGCCGGAGCCCAGCTCTGTGCAGTGGAGCTTGGGAGCTGTAACTTGAAGGAATCTCAGGCTTTGGAACTAATGTCAGGTAGGAACTGTGCGATTGCTGCTGGAGTCTACACTCTACAGATTTCTCTTTCTGTTTCTGTGGTGGGTCGTGGGTCTTGAACTCTGGGTCTGCAAGCACCGTTCCTGAGCTTGTCAGCTCAGAGGGAGAACTTTACATTTGAGCCAAAGTGCCTACTTCCTCCTCCATGCTTTTCTCCAGTTTGGGGTGATAATTTGCTTGAGGTTCCGGAGTTTGTGCTGCAATTAGCCTCTGGGCCTTCAGATGCAAGAACCTGGTTCCCAAATGTCTGAGAGCAAGCTGTGTGATTTTCCAGATGAGGAGAGCCCAGGAGCTGTGCATTTGTACTCCAAGACCAAGGGATTCTTCTATTAACCCATATGACTTTATTTGCTTTGCCCAGGTGTAAGAGGAGTACAGGAAGAATTCTAGTGAAACTGTGAGGTGTGTGCCTGCCTTGAGTCCTCTTACATTGAAGTTGTATTTGGGGCTTCTGTGTTGTTTCTCCTAGAGATAATTTAATCTGTTTAGCTTGAGTTTTTAATCTCCTGGCTTGAGTTCACAGATGTTTGTTCACCATCCTGTTTCTAGAGACAGTTGTACATGGGATATTGTAGTAGTGAGTGCTGGTCCTGTATTTTTGGGAATGAAGCCTAGCAATTTTTGCAAGTAGAGCATCCTATGAATAGGAATCTCCATCCTAAATGGACAGACCTTGTCAATTCTGAGAAGCCCTAAAGGGAAGAAGCAGAAAAGCACAGGAAGGGGAAGATGTTGCTAGCTTCCCTTGCCTTATGCAAAACTTGTTGCTACTTCCCTGAGCACAAGATTCAAGTGATACTCTTTCCTACACCACTCTCAATTACTTTTTGCTGTTGCAAGGTTTAAACTAATTCATAGGAGTCGTGATGAGCTGGATAGAGGAATAAGCCAGAGCATAGATATCAGAGTCTCCCTGAGGCTGTGGTTTGGGATGGTGGGGTAATTGTTATGACTGAAAGTATCTATTTATGTACTAAACCCTAATCCTCTTCTCGCTATTTTATTTAGCCTTTTACCACTGAATTTAATATGTAATCTTGAAATTTATCTTAAATGTGCCATCTATGGATTTGCTAATGCTAGCTCTAATCAGTTGGTTCCACCTGGTTGTTCAGAAAGTATCAGTCAGGGAAATTTGGCCTCATAAGAAAAGTCACAGGAGAAAACAAGGTAATATGTCTTACTCAAGGTTTTATGTGTCATTGCTATATCGAGTATTTTATGTTGTATCTTTATTAAGCCCTGTATCTCCAACAGTGTGGCCAAGGTTCTTCCCATGACTGTTTAGGAAAATGAGCTTTAGTAACTTCTCAAACCTGGGTTTACATCATCTTTACTCATGTCCCTTTGCCAAAGCATCTTAAATGGCAATTTGCAAGTCATTGCATAGGTGTACAATGGGTACAGTGAAGTATGCCATTTGACCTCCATTATTGAAATATTATAACACAAGAAATATATATACATTTTCTTCTATAACTTTGGGTGAAAACTACTGAGTTACATTATACATGCTTTCCCTGGTTTTAAATATATAAATGAATGAGGCAGAACACAAATTCCAATGATTCCTAGGATATCTTTGCATATCTTCATACATCTTGAAGTATATTTCAGCAATAACTTCTTTTAGTGGAAATGTGATATGTTTTTGTTTTCAGTTATTCAGTGTTTTCTGTGGAATCATTTATTTTTACAAATTTAGTGAATACATAAACAAGAAATTAGTTGGTTTAGTAATATCTATGTACCAGGAAATGGAGTGGATATGTGTTTGTTGGAGACTTTAATGCCCTGCTTCAGACATTTTACGTCGGTGCGGGGGGGGGGGGGGGGGAAGAAGGGGGGGAAGGAGAATTGGGATTGGGGGGGAGGAGGGAGGCTGGGAAGGGATGTGAAGAGTAAACCAAAGGAGGAGGGTGCAATGCTTGGTAAGAAATGTACGCATTATCCTGCCCATGTAATTGTGACCCCTCTGTACAGTATGTTCACAAATAAAATAAAATTAAATTAAAAAAAATTCTTCTCTTATAAGAAGGATTTATGCTTTTCCAGCCCATGTCTCATGTTTACAAGAGGAAATTCTGGGCAAAAAGTCTCACAGATTCATTTTTGGAATACGTCATTTGTTTTATATCCTAGCCATGCTTCTAGAATCTTCTGTTCATTGTCAGAAGCAAGCAAGCAAGAAAGGATCTCTGGTGAGTTTTTTGTCATCTGTTTTTTATTCCATTATATGAACCTAAAGATGTTCAAGAATTAAAAACAATACCAACCAAACAGATTCAGCCTCAGGAACATATTCATAAATCAGATAAAGATGGCTTGTAGATTTAGCAGATAAAGGTTCCTTATAGATTTAGTAAATTAAATGCTTATATTCTTTCTCAGCTGAGTGTAGATTTGCTTCAGAATGTCTAGGTTTTTGTGTTGTCATAAAATGTAGTCACTCTTGTTATGTGATTTAATGACACCAAGCAGGTTACATCTCAAGAAGGTGAAGGATAGACTGGAACCAGATCACTACCTCAGGAGTAACATTAAACTATCTCAATGAAATTTTCCTGGAATTGCTGAAATAGTGTTGTTACATACACACACACCTTTGTGTATTCTTAAGGAATGATTAACACATATGTACTTAAATTACTTTCCATATATACTTCTTGGACTACATCATGGTCTTGGTCTTACTTGAAACTTAGGCTATATTTGATGCTGAACTTTATGGTCTTTCTACAAATTTCTGTTTGTTTTCTCAAGTGTCCTCACAAGATTTTTTTCCTCTATGTTCTCTCTTTATTCTTGATTTTCTACTCACAAGTGTTGGTTATTTTTCTCTTTCTCTCTCTTTTTATCTCTCTTTCTATTATTTTTTCTTACTTTTCTCATTCCCTCTTTCTTCTATATGTTTCTCAGTTGTTTCTTTCCTTGAAATGATCTGTCTGGGAACTGGTTTTTCGTAGTGATCAGTTTTAATTTGCTGATGTGGCTCTTTTTTTTTTTTATTGTGAAAACACCCTACTCTTACGTTTGACATTTTTCCTATCAATTATATAGGAAATTTTTTTTTTGGTCCGGTTGTGGGGCCTGAACTCTGGGCTTGAGCGCTGTCCCTCAGCTCTTCAGCTCAAGGCTAGCGCTCTACCACTTGAGCCACAGCGCCACTTCCATCTTTTTCTTTTTGCTTATGTGGTGCTGAGGAATTGAACCCAGGGCCTCAGGCATACAAGACAAGGACTCTACCACTGAGCCACCTCCCCAGCACCATATATAGGAAAATTTTTGCCTAAAGAGTTCTACAGGATTCCAGAACCAAAGAAAATTAGAGAAACACAAAAATATGAACAGATAGACTTAGGGGAAAACAGGGGTCCGGAAGCTCTCTGACACTTGGTTCCTGGATTCCTGCAAGCAATCATAGTTGCTTGAGTTCACACAGGAAAGGTTACCATTGATAACATGCAAATATGAAGTATCTAGATAAATATTACAATCAGACTCACAACAGTTTGTGAGGGATGCATGTTTCCTTATTCTCCTGAGACAGAAGACTGCTGCCCAGAGAAAACGCAGACATGAAGTTCACCTTACCTAGCCTTCAAGGTCAACAGCACCTCAGTTTCAGCTGCTATCTTTTCAAAGCTAAGGCAAAAGGCCTGCACTCTGGTCTCTTAACCCTCTCAAGAATTCTCTTTTAACCCCTCCGTGGCCACATCTAAGTGCTTTCAGTATTATCAGGCTGGAATTCCAACCTCTCAAATCTTTTTCCCCTTCAGCTCAACTTCACAGTTCCTTACAGAAAATACGTCCTTCCCCCAATTGATACACTACAAGAAAATGTGACTTCTCCTGATTGTGATATCTTTGGTCTTCTTTTGATGTAGTATAGCTTTGTTTTCCGATCACACTACTTTTGAATATTTTCATTCACTTCCATTGTTAAACAAGAACTGGTTTTGATAAAAAAAAAAATACAGTGACAAGTTTTTCTCTATTAGAAATATCACTTGTTGCAAAATCTCAGAGATGTTTGCTCAGTAATTGATTTTGATCCCTGAAGAAGTTTGCTATTAACTAACACAAGTGGAAATATATCCTTAGGGATCTAATGGAGAAATGACTCAGGAATATCTGACATATTTGAGCATTTCATCATATTTATCATTTTTGCCATATTGAGTGTTCCTTGAGCCTCTATCAATTTGCTTCCATCTTCCATGAAGGCCTATTGAAATGAAAATCTTGTAAAGGAATATTTTATTCCCCTCCCACCTATATTTTGTGTTGTAGAATGTACGCAAAGTTTACAAAACTTCATGGTAGCAGTTCTTTTTTACATAGGAAGGAAATATCAGGGTGTGTATGACCACATTTCAATATTTAGTATTTAAACAAGGAATGGTTAACCTAGGATATTTTTATGTGGAAACTAAATCACATCCTGTAAGGACCAAATAAACCATTAGCTACTTTCTGGAGTAGTGTTACTGTTTCTAATATTCATGTGGACACTGTGCTTTTCATAGACTTACTAATGTGTACCATGTGAGGTACTGAATGTGTTCTGCTTGCTTATGAGAACGCTTGTTAATAGAAGATCTCAATAGGGTTTACAGTGATGCAGAATATATGAATGCAGTAAAAATACTTGTTTAATTCATTGTCAAACTGATATGTACTAAAAGTTTATCAAAACATGATAATATCATCTTTAGGCACCTCCTTAAACTTAATATTGTCATGGTAGGTTATTGTTTCCTTAGAATTTTTATCTTGTCTCTATTGCTTGCAGCAGAAATGTGTTTGCATGCATTAGGGAAACTGTAATTTTTTTTCTATTCTTTTTATTTTGGGGGGGGTCCAGTCTTGGGTTCTGAACTCTGGGCCTGGGCACTGTCCCCTCAGCTCTTCTGCTCAAGGCTAGTGGTCTACCACTTGAGCCACAAGACCACTTCTGGCTTTTTTCTTATGTGGTGCTGAGGAATTGAACCCAGGGCCTCAGGCATGCAAGGCAAGCGCTCTACCACTGAGCCACCTTCCCAGCCCGAAACCATAATATTTTAATGGATTTGGGGCTTAAATTCTGGGCCTAGCTGTTGTCCCTCAGCTCTTCAAGTCAATATGAATGCTCTACCACTTGAGTCGCAGTGCTACTTTCACTTTTCTGGTCGTTTATTGGAGATAAGAGTCTCACTGATGTTGGTGGCTGGGCTGGCTTTGAACCACAATCCTCAGACCTCAGCCCCCTCAATAGCTAGGATTATAGGTATAAGTCACCAGTGCCCCACAAATCTTTGTTTTTATAATGGTTAGTTTTATATATTCTCAAGTATTTTTAATTTGCTATTTAATTCTCCCAGTGAATAGATAATACAGCAAGCTGCAAATATTATATGTAAGACAAAAGCATACCTGCAGCATAATGAAATTCCAGATTGTAATTCTCATGACCCATGCATAATTTCTTGATGGAAATGTGCCTTTACAGAAGCTGATGTCATTTGATGATGTGGCTATATACTTCACCTGGAAGGAGTGGCAGGATCTGGATCCTGGTCAGAAGACCCTTCATAGAGATGTAATGCTGGAGACCTATAGCAACCTCATGTCCTTGGGTGAGCAAAGGTCATTTTTATTTGGAAGATCAAGTGCTTTTATTTTAGTAGACATTTGTCTATTTTTGTTATTTAGTTAGAAGATTCTAGTCCACAGGAAGTGTCATTTCTTTCTAAGTGAAACATCAACGTGATTATATGTAACTCAAGAGCTAATTTTATTCTCATTCTTTAAGAAGGAAAATCAGTAGTTGGACAAAAGTTCTAAACTATGTTTCACTAATAAGAGACTGGGTTCCCAAATTTGGAGTGCTTATTATAGGTGGATCTGCAGTCTAGAATAGAACATACGTTATTACTGCAAATATGATCTGGAACTCATTAGTTGAATGTGTATATTTGTTAGCCAAACCTGACATAGGGTGCAGTGCTTCAAGCTTGGAATCCTAGATACTCCGGAGTCTGAAATTGAAGATTTTGGTTTGAAGCCAGCAACTGCAGAAAATCACAATGAGACTCTTATCTCCAATTAACCATTCAAAAACTATAAATGTAGCCACTACTCAAACTAGTAGAATTCTAGCTTTGAGCAAAAGAGCTGAGTTGAAGCCACACAATTGGCAAAATAAACCCAAAGTTGGGGGAAACTCCACCATGGAGCTGTTAAATGAGAAACCAGATTTAGGAGCAACCTTGTGAACAGGATGTCTGAGACCTTATCGCAATGATGACCCAGCAAGAGCAATAGTTCTCCACTATTTGTTAATCATAAGGCACAGTGTTCCTAAACCTAAATTGATTGTCAAGCTGGAGCAAGGTGCAGAAACATGGATAAGAGAAGGCTCAGACAAGAATTTCAAAGGTGAGTTAAAGTATCTTGAATGGTGATGTTGGATCCAGAGCCAGTTGGTATGTTTATCTTGAGCTGTACAGAGCAATATTATTCCTAGTACACCTGAGTCATGTGTGGCAGAGAACTAGGTGATCCTTTGTTTCAAGGAATTGTCAATCTAGAATTCTTGTGTAGACAAACTGAATTTGGTATGCCAGTATTGTTCATGTTAGGAATTCTTTTATCTTTAGAGAAGTCATTCTTAAAGAGAAAATGACAATGAGAAATGTAGAAAAGGAGATATCATTTTCTTTTAAACCAGTACTATGGAGGTAGGAGGAAAATAGTATGCTAGGGCTACTATCTTATGATATCACAATTTCTTATTAGTGTTGCTTGCCATGGAGTGGAATTCAGAATCATAGCTTTAAGAGTGTGTAGCTGAATAACTTCAGTAAATATTTCCTTGAGAAAAATAGAAAAATCTGAAATACTGAAAAACATTATTTTCCATTGTAAAATGTCAGTACTACTTTCTTAATTACTACATTGTGGAGAAAAGTATGTATTCTGCATAAAACAATGCTCTGACGTTTGAAAATCTTATAACAGTTAGAAATGGAAAATATCTTTACATTAAGGAATTTATGGCTTTCGTTTATGTTTTTGTCTATTTTTCTATAATTCATTTTAGATATCCAAGAAATGGAGGATATGATTTCCACTTGTCAGGAAAGTCACAATGTATATCTATCTGAAGTAGCAATCATGAAAAGTAACCCAGGGGAGGAAAAAGTGAGATTTATAAAAACTTTTATTTTGAGCTCCATACAGAAGTCAGAACTGATTAAGAATAATGGGAACTCCTTAGGGATGAGAACAGAAAAGGTCACTGTGTGTCAGAACATGGGTGTCTACAATGATCCTAGTAAGATGTGTGCTGCATATAGTCCCAGTGTGTCTCCTGTAGTTGAGGAATGTAAACAATGTGACACCTCTTTCACCCAGAATACATACCTTACTTTCCCTCAGAGAACACACACAGGAGAGAAACCTTATGAATGTAACTTGTGTGGAAATTCTTTCGCCAAGAAGGCAAATCTTACTGTCTACCAGGGAACACATACAAGAGAGAAATCTTATGAATGTAACGTGTCGAAAGTCTTTCATCAAGAAGATACAACTTACTGTCCACGAGAGAACACTGACAGGAAAGAAAACTTATGAATGTAATGTGTGTAGAAAGTCTTTCACACAGAAGTCAAACCTTTCTGTCCACAAGAGAATACACACAGGAAACAAGCCATATGAATGTAACATGTGTGGAAAGTCTTTGATCTCAAAGGCAACCTTCACTCTCCACCAGAGAACACACACAGGAGAGAAACCTTATGAATGTAACATTTGTGGAAAGTCTTTCAGCCAGAAGTCAAAACTTGCTGGCCACCAGAGTACACACACAAGAGAGAAATCTTTTGATTGTAACATGTGTGGAAAGTCTTTCACCTGGAAGACAAGCCTCACTGTTCATCAGAGAACACACACAGGAAACAAAACTTATGAATGTAACATGTGGAAAGTCTTTCACCCAGAAGCTACACCTTACTTTCCACCAGAGAACACATACAGGAGAGAAATCTTATGAATGTAACATGTGTGGAAAATCTTTCATTAACAAGCCAAAGCTTACTCTCCACCAGAGAACACACACAGGAGAGAAACCTCATGAATGTAACAGGTATGGAAAGTCTTTACCCAGAAGGCACACCTTAATGTCCTCCAGAGAACACACACAGGAGAGAAACCTTATTTAATTAACATGTGTGGAAAGTCTTTCACCTCGAAGTCCAACCTTACTGTCCACCAGAGAACAAACACAAGTGAGAAAGTTTATGAATGTAAACTGTATGGAACGTCTTTCACCCAGAGCATACACCTTTCTGTCCATCAGACAAAAACCCACCAGAGATAAATTTTATCTAAGTAGCAGGCATGGAAATTCTTTCATCTGGTAATCATACCTTAACAACCATCACAGAACACTCAGGAGAGAAACCTTACGAATGTCAGAAATGTGGACAGTCTTCCACCCAGAAGGCACACCTTAAGATCCATCACACACACTGGAGAAAAACCTTCTAAAGGTAAGAGCTGTCAAAAGAGTTTCATACAGAAGGTAAAGCTTAGTATCCACAAGAAAGCATACACAGGAGAGAAACCTTATGAATGCAACAAATGTGGACAGATTTGGTGGTCACAGCTTAATACACATTAGTTGATTCACACAAATGAAAAAACTTAGGAATGTAGCAAATGGGAAAAATATTTCACCTGTAAGAAAATTGAGATTGGAATATGGAACCCACACAGGATAAAAACCACAAGATATAGCGGATGTGGAGTCCTTCAACCAGAAGACAAAGCTAAGAGTTCAACATTGAACACACAAACACATGCACACACACACACACACACACACACACACACACAGAGGAGAAAACATATGTATGAAAACTAAGTTCAAAGGTTTTCAAGAAAATGTCATAACTCAGAAGGGTGGGGAAGGGAAGGAATGGGAAGGGGAAACAAAGGAAGAGGCAACAATGCTTGATAAGAAATATATGCATTACCTTGCCCATGTAATTATAACCCCTAACGTTAATAAAAAAGGAAAATGTCATCACTCAATTTGTATCAGAGAACAGACACAGGCGAGAATATACAAATGTAACGAAAAAGTAGTCATGAATCCACGTTCAGAGAACACACACGGGAGAAATCTTAATATTATTACAAGTGTGGAAAGTCTTTGATCTAAAAGGAATACCTCAGTGTTCCTCAGAGAACTGACTCACGTAGGAGAAAAGAAAGTAGTGAATATAACATGTGAAATGACTTTCAATCAGAAGTGAGTCCTCAGCATATGTGAGATCATACACAGGAGAGAAATTATGAGTATAGAAAACATTTTGCCAGAAGTCACATCTGTACAGGTATCAGAGACCTGGACACATGACAGAATCTCTGTAAATGTGATCATGAGAGGAAATCTTTGAACCAGAACTCAACCTTCAGCAAGTATTAGAACATTTACCCAGGAAAGAAGCCCAACCTAGGAAAATCTTTGTCAGAAAACCTCTGCAAATTATACAGAAAAATCCTTCATGGCAGAGGTAAGCTAGGTGTAATGGGAAACCATTCTTCACTCTTCAGCAGTCTTTGAGCCAACATTTCTCATACTTTCATCGTTTTGAGTGGCTATGGTGTCCTTCAATATTATCCAAAGCATGGAGAAACAACCAGTCTTGACAAGTAATTCAGAGAGTGAAGTTATTAACTTGTGTCTTTTATACTAAGGAATGGTGGGTCAGGGTAATTTGATAAACTCTTCTTGGAAACATGATCTCTGGCCCTTTGGGACTGGATTCAGATCATCTCCAACATGGTTAGGGGAACAATAGATGGGTAAAGACTGTTATGATTGGAGGCAAGAACATGAGAACAACCATTTTTCTACTGCTCCCTTAAGTCTCCCTCTGTATGTGTGATCCATGCATTACAGTACCAATGACTTACTTATTGCAGTTTAGTTTTGAAATGGAAGATATTCGTCCTTATTGCAATACATACATAGTAGTAAAATCTTTCTCAGAGCAGTTAACAATGCTCAATAGGAAATATATTCATGACCTTCCTCATATAACTAAATGACCAATCTGTATAGTATTTTTACCATAAAATATATATTTTAAAAAGTATGGTGGATACATAAAGATAAGAGTCTCTGCATTTTGCCTTGGGGGAGAACCCCAAAGTGTCCTCACTGCTTGCTTTTTTCTTTAATTAATTACTGGTGATGAGCAACTTGTGATTGATTCACTCTTAGGCCATTTAGTTGTTCTGCTGAGTGAGCTATAATAAAACACCAGTGTGGACAATGTGACAAGCCTATGTTTTCTCAATATTCTAGAGGCTAATTACATATTATATTGTACTTACTTTGAAATGCAATGTGATATTCCATATTTTCTTTGTACAATGAATGTATATCCATGCAATGAGTATATATGCAAAACCCAGAAGAAATATATTCCTTTGTGTTGAGAAGAAGTCTTTCATTTGCTATCTCATAAAGGGCCAAGGTAGATATGACATTAGGGGAAATAACCAAGCACCCAAAAACATTGATCAATCTCTCACAAAAATTGAAGCTAACAAAAAAATAAAACCATTTGCTACTTGAGTTACAGCATCACTTCTAGGCCCTGAGAGGAAGGAAGGAAGGAAGGAGGGAAGTGAGAGAGGGAGAGAGGAAAGAAGGAAGATGGAAGTAATAAACTATTCATAAGAAGAATGTTTAATTTTTGGTGAATGTGAGAATTATTCTTTCAGAGTTTGGGCTCAAGAAAAATGGCTTTTACAAAGTGGCTGAACAAGTTTACACTCCCACCAACAATGCAGTAGGGTTCCCTTCTGTCCACATCCCCTCCAGCATCTGTTGTTATTAGAGTTCTTGATTATAGCCATTCTAACTGGGGTGAGGTGGTATTTCAATATTATGATTTGCATTTTTTATGGCTAGGGATGTTGAACATTTCTTCATTTGTCTATTGGCCATCCTTTCCTCTTCAGAGAAGTTTCTCTTTAAGACTTTAGCCCACCTATTTATTGGGCAGTTGTTTCTTTGAGGATGTGTTGTTGGGGGATTTCATTTTTGTATTCCAGGTATATTTTAGATTTATAGAAGTTCCTCAAAAGACTACACATAGAGCTCTCCTGTGATGCAGCAATCCCACTTTTGGGCATTTACCCAAATGATCACAAACAAGAATATCCTAAAGCTACCAGAATGACTACATTTATTGCAACATTATTTATCATAGCTAATACATGGAACTAACCCTGATGCACCTCAGTAGATGAATGGATCAAGAAAATGTGTCACACAATTGAATTCTATGCCTCCATCAGTAAGAATGAAATTGCCCCATTTATTAGGAAATGGAAAGACTTGGAAAAAATTATATTGAGTGAAGTAAGCCAGGCCCAAAGAAACATAGGTTCCATGGTTTCCCTTATAATAACTGGTATATGTGTGAGACAAGCAGAAACGGTTAGATAAGTTGATGTTAGGGGAAATAAAACTGAAGATAAGGACACCAATTTTTTTTCTTGCTTCCTATTGTTGCTAATACATATATAAGATGATTTCTTTGTTGCTTTGTATGTCTCTACCATGGTATAGTCCTTGTTTTCACTGTATTTGATATTGATATAATTTGTGGAGGGGAGGGGAAAAATTATTTAAATAGAGATATAGGTGGACTCATTCCAACAATGAAAAGTACAAGACGTTATGTTGTAAAATGAATTTTACAAGTTTGGTGGGGCGTGTGGGAGATGGGAGGGCAGGGATGGTAAGAGGAAACAAAGGAGGAGGCAACAATGCTAGATAGGAAGTGTACTCATTACTTTGCTCCTGTAATTGTAACCCTTGGGTTTGGTATTTTCCCAACTACAACAAAAAAAGTAAAAAAATGGCTTTTACAAGAAGTATACTCTTTATCTATTTAGAAAATGATGCAGAGGCTGTAACATTTAATACAGTGATTTAATAAAATCAGTAATATTAAGTAAGGAGGTCAGGCCTGGCTGGTGCCATACTGGCCACAGGGTAGATGGTGAGGTCTGCCATCTTGTCTTCATGATCAGGGAAGGAAATGACATCATCCATCACCTGCCTCCCAGATGATGGGTGTGCCTGGATCCCTGGAAGCAGGGGTGAGCATTTGGCTGATATGTTACTCAATCTGTTAGTCCAGTGCCTGGGACTGGGAGTTTCCTGTGGACCTGCCCACTGCCCTGGCCCTATTTAGGTTGGACCATCAGTGGCACCAGACACCATGCCACATGTCTCTGTGATCCTGTCCTGTGCCCTGTCTCCTGGCTTGTCTCTGTTAATCATGGTGTCCCAATTCAGTGCTGTATTGGTTTGTTGGTATTGTTTTTATTCTTTTTTTTCCTTTCTGGCCTGTTTCCAAGCTGTCTAAGTGTATTTGTCGACAGCAATCCTTTGTTATAATGGGCTGCTTGCAGACTGCTACCTGTGTAATAAAGATTCCAGTATTCCATCTTCCAAAATGTGGCTTCTGTGCTCACTTCGGCAGCACATTGGCTGAAATTGGAACGATACAGAGAAGATTAGCATGGCCCCTGTGCAAGGATGACATGTACATTCATGAAGTGTTTCATATTTTTACATAGTAGTGTTCTAAACTTACCGAGAGCCTAATTACATCATTTATACAATAAAAAAATGTGACTTCTGGGATAATTCACCTTACAACAAATATACTGTCTTCATTTACATAAACACAAAGTTTGACCTAAAGTTAGAATTTCTAGAGCCAAGATAGATCCCTCTGTATAGTTATGTACTTAAACGTAGCCTGGATGCATTTAGAAAAAATGTCTGTGTTACATCAGAAAGTGCTTAATTAGTAAACCAAGACCAAGACTCCAGATCCTATATAAGCCAGTCATTCTAGATAAGTCCAGAGCTGTTTGCTTCCATGAAGAGCTCTACTTTCACACTTTCATGAACAAATGTTTTTGTGACAATATGAGGTCTTCACCTCAGGAACTGATTTAACATACTTGATATTTTCTCTTTTTTTAAAGCAACACTATCACTCTACCACTTGTGCCACATCTTGATTTTTGGTGGTTAAGTAGAGATATTTCTACTGTCTTTTCTGCCAGAGCTGGTTTCAAAGGAGATTCTCTCATCTTGGCCTCCATAAAAGCTAGGAATCAAAGCATGAGCCCTGTGGGCTTTTCTGAAGAAATCTTCTCTCTCTGGGAACAAGAGGTTTCATTCAGTGCTTCACCTCAGGCTTCCTGTGCCTTCAACAATGTCAGTATATGTTTTTATTGTTAAAAGAGAATCCTTAAATCCTGGCCATGATTCCATTAACAAGATAAGGACAGTGGACTTCACATTGCCAGATTTAGCTAGGTTGCTAGCTTAACTCCTTCCCTCACACTGTTCACCCTTCTGGTGGTCTATACAGGCCTAGTACAAAAATGGAGGGATTGGGAGGCACTTGTGCCCTTGGCCTTCCTACTTGTGGCACACATACACATACACACACACACACACACACAGAGGCATATACACCAGGCATTTGGAAATAGCTCATTCTCCCATGTTTACACACTGGATGCTTTCTGAGAAGGGATGGTTCACAGAGTGGAGTCCTACCTAGGCCTGTCATATAGCTGAAATTAAAAGGCGGGAACCAAAATACCTCATTCATTCAACATAGGTCTGATGATAACATATTTAATTATTGCTTTAATCATTTTTATTACTATCACTTGGCCAATACTTTTGGTTAAGCTCAAAATTTAAGAGACTTACTGCTCACTTAATATAAGACCAGCAATTAAAAACGAGCCAGTTACACTCCCTCAAGTGTGGAATCTTAGCTACTCAGGAAGCTAAATTAGAACGGTAATATTTGTAGGCCATCCTATGCAAAACCTTCATGAAAATGGTATCTTAATCAATAAAAGGGTGGATCTGGTGATATGTGCCTATCTTGTTTGCTCCTTGTGACATGTAATTATAAAAATTAGTCTAGAAATGCCCAGGCAGAGAAGCAAGACTGTAAGGTGAAAATTGAGTGATACAAAAGGGCTTCTGGCATGGAAGGTAAAGGAAGACTTAAAAATTTTCCCCCTAAATTCAACCTGAGGACTACTAATATGACCTGTGCAAACAATACATTCTTCTAAATACTTAGTAGAAGAATTTGGATGTGGTTTACAGAATGATAGGTAAACAGTCCTTTACCAAGTGATTGCAAAAGGACCTTTGCATATGTCTATATGATGTTATAAAATTTATATCCTATTGTGTGGAAACCATGACTCCTGCTTGAATCAAGTAGTTCAGATCTACTGATCTAACAGGGCACTGGTGCTACACATCTGAATTCTTAGTTGCTCAAGAGTATGAGTTTTAAGGATAACAATTGAAAGGCAAACTAGGTAGGAAATGCTGTGAAGGTGTTAGCGCCAATTATCACCAAATTTCCCACAAGTAGTGCTGTGAATCAAGTTGATAGACTATCATTACTTTTGGTTATTTATTTAAAAAGCTCAGGGACAGTACCCAGGCCTGAGCAGAAAAACTCCAAAGCCAGGGAAGATATTTTTTTAAATGGGCTCTTTGTCCCTTGTGCAGAAAAGTTATCATTCCTGTGTAAGCCTAATGTACTCCATAGGGTATAGTCATTGTCCCTCAATTGAAGTTGACATTGAAATGTCTTATAAGCCAGGGTAATGATAGATTGTCACGAATATTTGGGTATCTTTTGTCATGTGAATGGACGTGAATATACCTTTATGTTTCTGACTAGTTCATAGGTCCTTGCAGAGGTTCAAGTTACTGTGTAGGACAATGTGGTCCATGTCTGTATGGAGTGGAATGAGACCTTCAATGAAAGATCTCAACATATAAAATGTGGCCAAATATTTCAGTATACTTGAAACAGTATCATAAGAAATAAAGGAGGCAAGTAGTGTTGATTTAAGATCCTAGAATACCAATATATCTGAACGAGAAGACTGTGGTCTTGTACTAGGAGCACATAGATGCAGGAGAAATACTCTTTTCAGTCTGAGCTGTCAGATGTATTTAAGCATTTTTCTTGTTTTTCCCTTTCTGATTGCACTTTATTTCAAGGCCACTCCAAGGGGTGAGTGACAGGATATTTAGTTTCAGCTCATTCTAAAAGCTCCTTTGTCCTGAGAAGAGAAGTGGTGAACCATGACTTGGGTACATATTTACCCTAGACCCAATCACTAAGAGTGGGTTAAGTTATATAATTTTTCAGAATGTCAAGGGTCCTACCACAACTTTCATCCTGTAGTAATTTCCAAAGTTAGGCCTTAGAAGAGTTCTGCTTTTGTATGAAGATTTCAGCTCTAAATTAGATTATTTTCTTCTTTTTTTTTGTCGGTCGTGGGGCTTGAACTCTGGGCCTGGGCGTTGTCCCTCAGCTCTTCAGCTCAAGGCGAGTGCTCTACCGCTTGAGCTATAGCGCCACTTCCGGTTTTCTGGTGGTTTATTGGAGATAGGAGTCTCACGGTCTTTCCTGCCCGGGCTGGCTTTGAACCTCGATCCTCAGATCTCAGCCTCCTGAGTAACTAGGATTACAGGCGTGAGCCACCAGCACCCGGCTTAAATTAGATTATTTTCAATAGCCATTTATTGAATGTTACTGGATAAAGTGCACAAATAAAGTCATATTTATGTTAGATAAAATTGTGTTATCATCATCAGTGTCAGTTAATATGACCCAAAGTCTTGACCCTGAAGAGTCTGCTCTCCAGTGATCTAAGTATTTATCCAAGAACCTCCAGTTCCCAAGCAATCTTGACCCCAAGGAGAGAGCAGGATGTTAGGTGAACCTTTTTTCTTCCTCAGGTTAACCTGGAATGATGCACCTCAGAGTGACTGGAAGGGACAGAAGCTGGGATACAGAGCACAGTGGATACTGAACAACGCTATCATAGGATTTTCACTAGACCCTCGGGGACCACCCAAGACCCCCTTGCATTACCTTGAACACTTATATCTTTATGATTCTCAAATTCTAGGTCATTTTTCCTCCCATAATTAGCTTAACATTAAGTGTACATTTTTTTCTGTTCCATCAATGAATATTGAATTTCTTTTAAATTTTATTCTTTAAGTTTTCTGGATCACTTACACCCTTGTACAAAGTTCTTGTTATAGAAGTCTCAGTACTTTGAGTACATGACTACCTGGAGCATCCACAGTCAACCATCTTTTGCCTAACTTGTATGTGAAGTCTGAGCAAAACCCAGCCAAAGCATTCTAAATTAAATATTTCTTACAAAAAGTTTGATGTGGAGACTTTATCTGGTGCGGTGGAAGTTGGTTGGGCTCATGGTCTAGGCTAGAATTCAAAATGGAAGATACAGAAAAGTTTGGTAAGGAACCAGCTGAGGAGAGGAGGGCAGTGCCAAAGTCTTCATGCAAGAGACCAGTCTGGCAAGCCCCTTGGGACAGGAATGAGAAGCCCAGAGCAGGGCCTGTGCTACCCATCAGTCCATCACCAGCACAGCATGGCACCTGCAGCATGGGCCAAGTTGTGCATATTTTTCTTGCCGGGCTGACTGTGGATACAGGGACCTGTAAGACAAGTCAGTGGCCTAATGTAATAGTCTTGTCCTATGTAGATGATACAATTGCTTGTGGACAAGAAGCATTCGTAGTAAAACAATTGTTAGGTGTACTCGTATAAATTCTTCAGGATGTGTGTGTTTGTGTGTGTCCTAAGAAGAAAACAAATTGAAAAGTAGTTCAGAGAGAACTCAAATGACAAGAATGTGGGACTTGAGTGCACAGCAAGATAGATCCATTACAATCACAACAAATAAGTGAAAAGGAACGGTTTCCTTCACTTATTTTTACCAACCCTTACAAATCCCATTGTGTTCAAAATAATAAGGGCAGAAATGTATCTGTTGATGCTTACTATTGTACAACAACTAGTTTATAAGTGACAGCAGAGGCATAAGGTCTGTTCTGTGAGTGTCCCCTGCAATCACTGGAAAGACAGTACTATTGGAAGTGAACTAAAGCCACTTATTGCAGAGGAAGCATTTACTAATTTCAATGAGCAGACTTTTTGTTTTGCTTGTCCTCGGGCTCGATCTCAGGGCCCAGGTGCTGTCCTTGAGCTGCTTTTGCTCAAGGGTAGCACTCTACCACTTGAGCCACAGCACCACTTCTGGCTTTTTCTGGGTATGTGAACCTGAGGTATAGAACCCAGCTCCTCATTCATGTGATGCAAGCACTGTACCACTTAGCCACCTTCCCTGTCCTATAAGCTGACTTTTTATGTTAAAAGAAGAAAGAATGTGTTGGTATGTACTATCCACCTTCCATGTGCAATTCCCAAGGTTCAGTCCCCCAAAGTGAAAGGAAGAAAGTAGAAAATGGAATGACATGAAGTATTCAGTTACAACTACAAAGAAAAATAGAAGAACAAAGGCAATGAGCAAGTAATTAGGTTTTTGTTTGTTTGGGACCATTTGTTTTTTCTTTCAATTGTTGTGTGAGAACTTTAAACTCAGGGAGGGCCTGACATATTCCCTAAGCTTTTCACTAAAGTGCATGCTACCACTTCCAGCCACAATGTCACTTCTAGTTTTTTGGCATTTAATTGGTGATATGTCACAATGCATTTTCAGCTGATGTGCTGCTGAGGAATGAAAACCAGTGCCTCAAGAATGTAAGGGAAACACACGACCACTGAGCCACACTTCCAGCCCTGCCCCCTTTCTTAAAATAGTGTGGTTGGGGCTGGCAATATGGCTTAGTGATAAAGTGCTTGCCTAGCATACATGGAACACTGGGTTTGATTTCTTAGTATCTAATAAGCAACAACAACCACCAAACACCCCTAGAGGTGGTGCTGTAGCTCAAGTGGGAGAGTGAAGGTCTTCAGCATAACAAAATTCAGGAACAGTTCTTAAGCCTTGAGTTTAAGCCCCAGGAATATCAAACAACATCATCAACAACAACAACAAATGAGTAAATGAAGACAAAAAAAACCAGTGTCAGCAAGTTTCATTGATAAACATAACACACACACACACACACACACCTACACAAACACACTTTTAAAAAACCATATTCACCTCCTTTACCCTGTCTGCTTACCCTCCCTGTTCCAACTGCTACCTACATCCACAGGAGAACTTATTCTATGTTTCTGTTGTTTTTTCATTCTTAAAAATTTTTTCTGAAGATTTTATACACACAGACACACACACACACACACACACATGTATCTATCTATCTATCTATCTATCTATCTATATATATATATGGGTGAAAATTACATGAGCCAGTATGCATTTTTGTACAATTCCACCCACTTATTAAAACTGGCATTTATTTCCATATATCACATTAAAAGTACCAATATTAGGTATTGATCTCATTGTCTGGGTGGTATCTCTGACCATTTTATCTTAAGGCTCTTTCACTCTTTCTACTCCTGTATTTTTAGGTGATTAATTGTAGATAAGAGTTTCATTGACTTTTCTGAAAGGGCTGGATGAAAGCTCAATCCTCAGATCTCAGGTTTACTACCATGAGACACTTGTGTCCAGCACCTTTAAATATTATTACATGTACTATGTTATTTGTGGTATTTAGTAATGAATTTTTTGTTTGTTTTTGTGCTGGTCCTGAGCTTGAACTAAAGGTCCTAAGTGGTCCCAGAGCTCTTCAGTTCAAGGCGAGAACTCTACCACTTGAGCCACAGCACCATTTCTGCTTGTCTGGTGATTAATTGAGATATGTGTCTCACAGACTTCCCTGCCCAGGCTGGCTTTGAACTGTGATCCTCAGAGCTCAGCCTCAAGAATAGCTAGGATTGTAGGCATGATGGCTCAACATCCAGTTATACTTCAAAATACTGTATTTACCTATTTGTGGAATACAAAATGATGAGGATCACTTTTTACCTGTATTTTACCTATCGAATATCTAAGAACAATCCTACTTCTATCTGTTTGTGTCTCTCAATTTATGGATTCCTGTAACCATCTTCTAGCTAGCTTCTGCACTTCATTTTTAACATATTTCCAATATTTTACATTACATTTTTTTTTTACTGCTACTATGTCTTAATTGTGTTTTGGTACAACTATCAAAAGGGAGCTGGAGAAAAGAATAGTAGTGGTGGAAGGGAGGTGGTGTTCATCCTCCTGAGAACTCACTTTCACCCTCTAGGAAAGTGAGAAAACACATCAGGGACACTAGTGTTTCATTATAACTCACTCAGCAGAACAAAAAACTGGGCTGAGTGAATCAATCATAAGAGGCTCATCACTAGTGATTAATTAAATATAAAGTAAGCACTGAAGTCCTTTAGGTTACTAATCCAAAACCAAATGCTTATGACTCTTGTCTTTATCACAAGAAAGTGCAAGTGTAGCTATGGTTCAAGTGGTAGAGCATTGTTAGCCTTGAGAAGAAATGATTCAGGAAAGTGTTGCTAGGCACTAGTGTCTCAGGCCTCTACCTTCTCTGCAGACTGAGATCTGAGGATCATGGTTCAAAGCAAGACTGGGCAAGAAAAGATTAGGAGACTCTTATCTGCAATAAACAACTCAGAAAACCAGAAGTGGTGAGGCTCCTCAACTGGTAGAGCAGTAGCGTTGAGCTGAAGAGCTCATGGCCAGTGCCCAGGCCCAGAGTTCAAGACCCAAGCCCAATTAAAAATCGTAAAGTGCCTAGTCTCTAAGTTCAAGCTGTAAGACTTGTTGTAACCTGTTTGGTTTCTCTGATGCAAAATGAGTTATCTTCCAGGTGAGATTTCCCACATTTATTACATTCCTAAGGTTTCTCAGGTGTGTGAATCCTCATAGGTGAATGGAGGTGTGAATTCAGGGTGAAGGACTTACCCATTTCTTACATGCATAAGGTTTCTATCATGGGTGTGTTCTCTGATGCAAAGTAAGCTTTCATTTCAATCTGAAGGGACTTCCACATTTGTGACATTCAAAACGCTTCTCTCCTGTGTGATTTCTCTTATGTGTGTTGCAATCTGAATTCCAGGAGGACTTTCAACATTTGTTACACTCATAACGTTTCTCACCTGTGTGAATTCTATTATGGCTGCAAAGCTGTGACCTCTGCTTGAAGGATTTTCCACATTTGTTGCAATCATAAGGTTTCTCTCCTCTATGTGTTCTCTGATGAAATGCAAGTTGTACCTTCCAGTTGAAAGACTTTCTACTTCACTGATAGTCCTATGTTCATTCTCTGATGAACATGAAGGTTTGACTTAATGGTGGAAAGACTTTCCACATTTGTTACATTCATAATTTTGGTCTCCTGTGTGCTCTCTGATGCAAAGTGAGTTCTACATTTCTTGCATTCATAAGGTTTCGGGCTGGGAACGTGGCTCAGTGGTAGAGCGCTTGCCTTGAATGCATGAGGCCCTGGGTTCGATTCCTCTGCACCACATAAGCAAAAAGAAAAAAGCCGGAAGTGGCACTTTGGCTCAAGTGGTAGAGCACTAGCCTTGAGCTGAAGAGCGGAGGGACAGTGCCCAGGCCCAGAGTTCAGGCCCCACGACCAGACCCAAAAGAACAAATAAATAAAAATAAAATAAAATAAAAAATAAGGTTTCTCTTCTGTGTGAATTCTGTGGTGCGTGCTGAGAACTGACTTGTACATCGAAATTTTCTTACATTCTTCATATTTATAGGGTTTCTCTACTGTGGGCTCTTGTGGAGGGAAAATCAGTTCTGTTTTCTCAGACATAGATTTTGGACACTGCTGATGCTCATCAAGCTTCTCCTGTGGATACATCCTCTGAGGTTTTGTTAGGTGTATGTCTTTATTGAAAGATTTTGCAAATCAAGTACAAATATAAAGATTCTCTCCTGTGTACATTTTTATGTGAACTGACTGTAGGTATTTTCTTTTTGGCTCCAGTCATGGGGGCCTGAACTCTGGGCCTGGGTGCTGTCCCTCAGCTCTTCAGCTCAAGGCTAGTGCTCTACCACTTGAGCCATAGTGACATTTCTGGCTTTTTTTTTTTTTTTGCTAATGTGGTGCTGAGGAATTAAACCCAGGGCCTCAGGCATGCAAGGCAAGTGCTCTACTACTGAGCCACCTTCCCAGCCCTACTGTAGGTCTTAAGTGGAATGACTTTGCACATACAGTACATTCAGGTGTTTTCCTCCCTCCCTGAAATATTTCTTGCACAAGGACGGTAGAATTATCACACTCTTCTCTATATTCATTATGTTTACTGGAGTGTCCTCCAATACTGTCTAAAGAATATGGTCTCTTATTGTACTACCTTCCATTCTCTACCATATTCAAATGTTGCAGCTCATTTGGATTCTCATAATTTTGGATAAAAATGCTCAAAATATCTGTGGGGTTCTTCAACTTCAGTAGTCTCCCTGGGCATGCATCTCATCAGGTTCACTGAAATCCTCAGTCCTCATCCTTCAGGGTTCCCATTAGTCCTAGTCAGCTCTTCCTTATATTTTGAGCTCAAAATAAAAGTTGTTCCTAATCACACTCTTCCCTCAACTGTATCAGTAGTTGTGACTATTTCACACAGAGATTTATCCTGGAAAGACTTAATCACAGCATCTATTTTTTTGCACCTCTAAAATGATTCATAGGAAAAAAATACAAAAAATTAATTGATATCCCAAAACTCTTCATTGTAAAGATGACACATTATCTTTTTAAATTTAAGATTTTAAAATAGCAAAGTTGGAATTGATTTATGAGAATTATATGCCTTTCTCTCTAAGGTATCATGAAAGTAATAATGATATTTTATGATGGAAAATAATATTTTTCTGTGTTTAAGTTTTTCTTTCTTAGTCAATTCACACTTCTAAAAATGCAAATTATGGCTATTTTCAGGAAAGGTAATTAATTAATAACACATCTCTCTCTGAAAGTGTTACAAGAAATTTATCCTGCTTCAAGACAATAAGAAAATGTCAACATGAAACTACACATGAAAATTATAAATGTGTAGGTAATATAAAGGAATGTATAGAACATATATTTAATGTAATCTGTCTAAAGGGAAAACACAGCACCATATTCATGATTCATACAGCATGAAGATTCAATATATAAATAAGTGTAATCAAAACAAAGTATGTGGATTAGTAATATGCATTAATTAGTACTGTACTTGCCTGGCAAATATGAGGACCAGTGTTCAAAGAATACCAACAAAAAATTAAAAAGTGTAATTGATTCAGATTTTCAATGGAATTATTCCATTGAAAAGTAACTATATTATATAATGTCATAGGCTAGTATTGTGACAATATTGTAAACTCTTAGAGTACCTAGTAATAATGCAATGCAGTACCTCCAGTAACTTAACTACCTATGTCTGCCATAAGAAAAATCAGACTGTTTGGGAAATTTACTTTCTTGCAGTTCTATAGTATAGCAACAATTATGATGCATGTTTTACATATTTAGAAGTTCTGTGCTTCATCCTAAGGATGGTCTTTATTCTGTACACAAAATTTGTGGTAACTTCTTTTTTTTTTAGATTTTATTTATTTATTTTTTATTGTGAAAATACTGTACAGAGGGGTTACAATTACATGGGCAAGATAATGAGCATTTCTTATCAAACATTGTAGCCTCCTCCTTAGTTTCCCCTTCCCATCCCTGTCCATTCCCCCGACCCTCCTACCCAATCCTCCCCCGCCACCAAAGTTGTAAAGGTCGTTTTTTGACATAACGACTTGTATATCTCATTGTTGCAATGGGTCCACCTGCATCCCCATTTAAACGATTTGCTTGGGGTTACTTCTTTATTAAAAAAACAGTCAAACTACAAGATTAGGTTACAGCTACTGTATAAGAGCATTTTTTTCTTTTTTCTTTTCATCAGTCACGGGGCTTGATCTTTGGGCCTGGGCTCTGTCCCTTATCTCTTCGGCTCAAGGCTACTGCTCTACCACTTGAACCACAGCACCACTTCCAGCTTGTTCTGTTTATGTGGTGCTGAGCAATCGAACCCAGGGCCTCATGCATGAAAGGCAAGCACTCTACCACTAAGCCACCTTCCCAGCCCCTCTAGTAGCATTTTCAAAGGAGTATATTAGGACTTACATATTTGTTTGTTTCACAGATTCAACAAACCATAGAACCAAAATACTTGACAAAGTATGGCACCTATAGTAAGCATGGAGTCTTTGATAAAACTGGCATTATCATGAACCATGCAGTATAACAACTATTTAGTATAATTTAAAATGTAATAGGCATCAGAGGTGATTTGCAGTGTATAGAAGATTGCCTGAAATTATATTACAGTTGATTTGCTGTCTGTAGGTTACATGAAAGCAAACTAAGAAAGAAGAATCAGATGAGACATAATAAATAGCAAACATAATAAATAGCAAAGTAATTACTAAAATGAAATCATATTTATATTGTAATCTAAAAATACTAAATATATCAGGTAATTTCTGATTTAAACTGAAGAAAATATACTCAAAAAACTCATTAAGCCATCCAAAGAAATATACATTAATTATTAAGAAATCAAAATAAATCAATAATGATACCTGAAGCAAAAAGCAATAATGAAAAGTAAAATACTGATAATATGAGAGGAAATAAACATCAGCACAAATTGTGTTACCACAGATACAGAGCATTGATAATAACAGGTATATCATCAATCTATATAATAAAAATTTTATTCTGAAAAGTAGTGTACAAAGGTATGGTTAAAAGGCCAAAGAATGTTAATTTCTTTAATCTATAATTATGATTGTAGAATTAATACTCCTCTTTTTTTTTGTCGGTCGTGGGGCTTGTACTCAGGGTTTGCATGCTATCCCTCAACTCTTGATGTCAAGGTGAGCACTCTACCACTTGAGCCACACTGCCACTTCCGGTTTTCTAGTGCTTTATTGGAGATAAGAGTCTCATGGACATTCTTGCCCGTGCTGGCTTTGAACTGTGATCCTCATATCTCAGCCTCCTGAGTAGCTAGGATTACAGGCGTGAGCCACCGGGGCCTGGCATCTAATACTCCTCTTAATGACTGAACAACCAGATAAACGGTCATCACACAGACACATGTGGAAGGCATTATCTTTATCTAAATGCTGTTTATAAAGCACTATGCTGTTATATTTACCAAGACAGACACACTGACAATAGATCTGAAGACAAATTGTCTAGAAATTGAAGTACCTGGTTTCAGATGCCCCCTCACAGACCACCAGAGACCACGATCAATGAAAACAACAAAGAGTCATTTTTTGCAAACTTGAGCTTGGTCCTCCGTGCACTCAGTAACTGGTAATGCTAAGAGGCCCCGAGCACAAAATTAGTACAACTTTTATAGTATTAAACAAGTTCACAAGTTTAGGGGGTTTCCACACAAGCAAGTTCAGGGGGGTTTCCACACAAGCAAGTTCATAAGTTCAGGGGGTTTAAGTACACCCGGACTGCACTTCCCTTTTTCTGATGGAACACCTGGGCAACTGTTCTGTTTCTTAAGGTTGGGCAGGGTTGGTGGCAACCTGCGGTTTTTCTGAGAACTATTTTTTCCTTTGGCAGCACAGCTCTCTTTGGTGGTTACGCTGAGCGCAGCACAGCTCAAGGGGCTTGATCTTAAAATAGAGTTACTTTAGCTCTTCAGAAATCAGTATGAGAAAGAAATCTATGTTGTAAACACAATAAAATCCAACAATATGTTTCTAATAATCTATCAGTAAAACAAACAGATGGAAAGTAGAATGGATCTGTAACAAATGTATGCTATCACTATGATTTATAGAATATTAAAGGGAGCCACTCTCTTAATTAAGTTGTGAAATAAATACAAGTGCTTTCAATTATGTATGGTGTATTCACATGTATATCTTCTGGAGGGTGTGGCAGAGCCATAGAATTTGAGGGATATAGGCAGATGAAAATATAGTATACAACTCAAGAGTAGAGATAGGAGGGAGGGATTGGGAGAGAGTGAAGGAATGGAAGACACTGTATAAAAATAAAAGTATTAATCTCTGTATGCATTACCTCCATAATAACATTAAATTACATTAATAATAAAATAATACCTCCAGCATAAACCATTTGCTTGGTGATCAAAATCTACCATAGTTAGAAGAACAGTTTCAATTATTAGACATATAATGCAACACTTAAATGGAAAGATAAACTATTTCAGTTTAGGTTGAATATTAATTCTACATAAACCAATAACAATAATCTGTTTCATTGTAGTATTCAATTAAGTGTTAATGTTAAATGTTGAGGTAAGAAAAAACAAGACAAGCACTTATGGTGTTCAAGACTGTCATTTTACC